GAGCTAGAACATTACTTGGCAAATTTTTTTGTTGAACCTTATGATTACCAGAGTTCTGAGTAAATTCTGAAGGGCAATCCTCATTCTTCATTGACCACAGCCGAGCTCTTGTGTGGCAGTTTGTGGATACTTCGGGACGTAACTCATTGGTGCTGTTTTCCCCCTATTGTAGGTGGTGGGATCTTGTTGAAAATTCATGGGGAGCAGTACAGAATTATCCTAGAACACTACCATTCTACTCTAGTTTTGATCAGGTTTGTATGTGTTGATTATATGCCTTAAGGTATATTTTGGAGCTCCATTGTTTTGATGTATTCAAACCTAGCTCAGTTCCCCCGGCATTGACTATCATATATATTCAGGGAGTTGGCTATCATATATCGGTTGATGGACAGCAAGTAACGGATGCTTCTTGGAATAACATATCTTGCCAGGGGTTTCAGGTCTTGCCCCACGACTAGATTCTACATCTTTTCATGTATGTTTTGACTTAGCTGTTTTTCTTACTTGTTACTCATTAACTGCTGCAGGCTTTACTTAAATATGTTGACGACCCAAAACCGGGTGCTATTCAAGTACTTGTCGAGTGAGTTTCTATGCGTAACTTAACCACCCATTTCCTTCATATTCTATGTCTAATGATAGTTTCTGGTTTGGTTATTGCCAGCTTTAAGCAACCATCCTATAATGGGGGAGGAAACATCACTTTCAGAGGAACACTCCAAGACAATGCTTACTTTGAAACTAGGGTGTTCATAGGAGAGCTTCTTCTGGGTGGTGAACCACTCCAAGTTATCTATTCTGTAAGTTTACTTCGTTTACAGAACTCGCTCACCCATGACAATGAGTCCTGCCCAAAGGAAAATATTAACTTTTGATCCAATGATATACTGGCTATAGGTAAAATCAGAGGGTGATTCACTACTGGGCCTTTCGCTTCACTTCTTTTCTCCCATGAATGATAAGAAAACAGTCATCGTTATCGCACCCTGGGAAACTGATGAACTCTCCAGAAAATTCAACAAAGCAATCGTTCCAGGACGAGTTACAGACTCAGAAATTGAACCCGGATGGGTGCAGTATGAGAGCAAGGTTGCAATGAATGGACAGATACTACGAGAAATCCGTGCAGTATGCCACAAGACAAAAGGTACCACTACAATGAGATCAGAACAAAAGGCAGCAGCAGAAGGGTCAGAGTATCTTGCTGTGCTTGGCCAAATCCTGATGAATAATTCTGATCACAACTCATGTCTGCCTCCATCCACTTCATGGGAAGTTACAGCTGAGCTAGTACAGTGGACTGCATCATCATCAGCAGCTGCAGATTCCGAGGGCTCCCGGGCAGTTAGCTTGAAGATCAATTGGAAACTGAAAGATGGGAATACTGCTTTCGCGCATTCGAAGTACAACGTTTATGTGGCAAAACTTGGCAGTAGTAGTGTGCAGTATCTTGGAGTTGCAGCAGTTGAAGCCTTCTATGTTTCTAACTTGGTTGTTCCTTCTGGTGTTTCTAGTCTGAAGTTCATTGTTCAAGTTTGCAGCATTGACGGGAGTTCCCAGAAGCTGGATGAGTCTCCATATTTTGAACTGGATGTTGAATACTAAGTTTTTAACTATGTATCATACTACTCGTGTTGTTGTATCACAAATTGTGGACTTAATAAGGTGGACCTCCGTAATAAGATTTATTCCCCAGTCATTTCAATCTGGATCTTCCAGTTTATATAAAATTGTGCTCTTTTTCTTTTCCTTGTTCTGACGCATAAGAGAAAGTGTTTTCCTCATTGCATGAGCTCTGATTCAATGGTTTTTGCACCAAAAATTATTGAGGATGAATCATACAACATATTAAATCAATCCGTATACAGAAAATCCACTTGCCCTGTCTCTGTACATTCACGTCTTATGTTGTTGATAAAAAAAAATCCTAATATTTCACAATTTATTTGATTTTCTAAAAAATTGAATGAAGAAGAGTTAGAGAATGAACATGAAATTTGGGTTCACAGATAAATAAAACTCTTAGAAGATATGAGTGACCAAAGTGGTATGAACTGTATTTGTAGTTTATATATTCGTATAATTTCGATGTGCATATCTAATGTACTAAATTCACATCAAAATCTTTACTTTTTGTCGTAATTGAGAAAAAATATACCTTAAAATCATGTCAAAACAGATTTTTCCAGATAAAATTGAATCAATTTCGAATGAATAGCGATGAAAATGGATTGTTTTATATTCCCTAGATGGTTCCTTCCATGTTGCTTGATGTTGAGACTTATATCGAAGCATCCAAATAGGGTTGAAAATGAGAGGTTTCACGCCACACAAAAAAAACATCTACAGACTACAGAAAGCGGCTTCTCAATGAATCTGTATTGGAAGAACCAAGAAGGAAGAGTTTCAATGCAGATCTATTAGAGGGAAAAACATGCGAGAAAATGTCAATTGAAAATCAGGAGAAACCAACAAAAATGGAGGGGTAAATGTTATAATAGTGATTATTAAATTCAAGCAGAAGCAGTTAAGACCAAAATCAATCAACCTCGAGGACTGCTAATTGAAGGAGACAAGATAAAATTGGGGGAGAATCCTTAACCATCTTGTCTTTCCAGTGCTCGAGGACCTTCCGATTACAGGACAAGAAACATCACCATGCTAGTTAATTAGTTTTGCATATGATAGAAAACTAAAGACTGGTTTACTACAGCAAACATTTTGCGAATAAGATCTTGATATATATAGATATATAATTTGGAGATTGCACATTCGAATTTCAGAATAATATTTTTCTTCTTATAAATTCCCTTCAATTATCACATATTGTAAATAAGTATTAAGATCAATTGTGCATCTGTATTCTCGTCAAGAATCATTTCATCGTTGACTAAATAGGATTGTTTTCTTGCACTTTTCATCAAATCATTTCATCTTAAGCCGCTCAATAAATATTAAATTATTCGCTTACCATTCATGTATAAATCTAGTATCTGTCTGTGTCTACAGAAGGGGAAAAATTACCATCTTACTGCTTAATTAGCACAACGGTTTTTGGTTCTCTAGGGGCGTCGTCCATAATGGAGAAAATGAAAGGCTACTTGCTTCACTGTTAGTAGAAGAAAAAATCCAAAGGCAAATTGTATAATAATTCAGACAGTATATATTTTGATTGTTTTATGTGATTAGATTTTTTTCCTCAACTTATTGCAAGTTGCTAAATTTAGTCATTACCTCATATATACATCAAGTTGTAATTGATGTTTGGATTACTATGTTCGTGATTTTGTAATTAGCGCATTGCTTTTAGGGGGGAAATGAAAATGACTCTTATTGCAAGTTGCTAATTTTAGTTTGGGGAAAGTGAAGAAACTGCATTGTAATCTTAACTATGTCTCATCGTATATATCTCTTTAAAAATGGTTTAACAAGATAGCTTATATTTCGTTAGATTTTTTGAAGTGCATGTTACAATATGTATGATGAGACTTGTGTGGCCAAATCGTATGTATATTAAATTCCAATTGATATGATCAATTGGTACTTTATATAATTTCATAAACATGATATTGAATTATTGACGTTGTAATAAAAATAAAATCACTCTTGTGAATGCTAATAGTTTAGTCCTGACTCCTGAGTATTAGCTTCGTCGGGAAATAATAGTGTAGTGCAGTTTGTACGATTTCCTTGGAATAGATAACATTTGTAAAAAGGTGGAGATGATTCCTGATTTACAGTACTATTATGTCCAAATAAGTAATGAATTGATTAGAGAGAACGCAACTGAACGAATTGTAGCAAATTTTTAGAAAGAATACTAAATATAGATAATGATATCTTCCCTTCTCAACTGTCTAAAGAGCGGTTATATAAACAAATGTGTTGAGACTTTAATTTGGACTTCCAATATACCTACACTTCAAAAGTTTGGATTTCAAGATATTCAACTACTTGTATATTATATAATATACGTTTTTCATTTTTTTGTATTTACATTCCAACTACACTAATAACTAAAACTTCCACATTTCAAAAAGTTAACATATGTACCAAATGGTCAATAATCAAATCATATGAAGTAATTTGACAAAAGAAGGCCAACATATATAACTGATTAATGATATATGTGTACTCCTCATGAACACTAACTTCACACACCTCAAACATACATTTTATATTTAATCCATCATTTTACCAATGTGTTCCAACTTTTTATGTATCCTGCCGCCGGAATAAAAGTCTATATATGCATCCACATCAAATATTGAATGGGTCCAGTAGCTAGCACTAGAAGCATTACATATTTAAAAAGAAACATCAAATAAAGTAAAGCAAAATATCTAACCAACCTAATGTTTATATTTACTTATTAAGTAATCCACATATTATTATTAATTATTTGTTAGAGTTGCTCGTCATTTATTTCTAGAATGTCAATCATTCAATCACCATATAACTAGTAGTAATGAAAACTCTTCGCTTTTAAAACTGGAACGAAAATGATGCATCACTTAAAATGAATACAAGTCTAACTTATTTATCTAAAGAGTCGAATCATATTCGTTCTGTATGATTATTAATGTTCTTAACAACTGGTCCACAACATCGCTCTAGCTATCACCAATTATGTGAACATGATTAATATAATGTTCAATCATTTGTCAGAAAAAAAAAACAGAACACCAATGTAAGCAATATGTACGTACATAGCTGGAACATAATGCCCTTCGATTTAGAGGCCACCGACCTCCCAATTCTTTTATCAACCGATCACACGAAGGAGTTAATTAATTATAGCCAAAACCTCATCTCTCAAGTGATTAACAATTTAACACGCATTCCCAACACATGCTACAGTTGACCTCCCACACAAACAACAACAAAAAAAAAAACTAATAACCCTTAAGTAGAAATCAATCAATTTCTTCATCTTATTTCTGATTAATTACTATAAACTAAAAAAAAACTCGTCGTACAACGTAACGATCAAATGATCAAGAAATTATGTCCCCGAAAAAGCTATTTGTCTTCATCGACATGTGATGATCATGGTCATAATGATGATGATGATTGAGGGCCAGCAATCCATTCTGCAACAAAAACAACGGCTTGTTATCCACCGCCGACACGACGTCGTCCAAGCAGTCCACGGGAGTCGTCGGACCGTTGAGATGATCGAGCGGCTGGGAATCGAACGGCGGGGATTGCTGCCCCACCATCTGGCCGATGCACACGATCTCCGCCTGAGCCAGAGCGAGCTGCATTTGGAGCTGGGAAACCTGGTTCTGAAGGTAAGAGATGGCCCCCACGCAGCCGTACACCGGGTCCCGCAGCCGCGCGTTCGCCTCGTACACCAGGCTGTTCACCGCGTCGGCTCTTCTCTCCGCCGGCAGGTCCTGTGTTGACCGATGGATCATCGGAGTGTGACGTCATTCACCAAAGAGGGAAACGACAAAGGGAAAAAAAGAGGCGATGACTAATTAATTTAGAAATATATATGTGTGTACGTACGAGGAGCATTTTGGCGACGTTGCTGGCGCCGAAGACCTTGTGGACGATGGCGAACTTTTGGGGGTCGGCGGGAGGGAAGTAAGGCGCGAAGATGCAGTCCTTGGCGCACCGCCGCCGGAGCAGCTTGCAAGAAGCGCAAGGTGAAGTGCTAGTTCCCACCATGGTTTGAAGAACTGGAGAGGGAAGAGAGATGGGTGGTGGGAAGGTTGAGTGAATTAGGAGAGAGAGATGTATTAGTTAGTGGGCACAAAAGGTTTTAAGGGATCAGTGAGTGTATTTATAATTGAGGAATTGTGACATCTATATAAGATTATTGAAGCTAAAGAAGGAGTATATAGTGCTCATTAATTATAACTACAACTATTAGGCGGCAGATCAGAAGACAACTACTGTAGCTTGGGGGGGAGATGGAGTACATAAATTACTATTTTTCTTTTTGGCCAAATGATTAAATTATTGACATCCACACTGCGCATTTATACAATCGATTACACAGTTTGGTGAGAACAATCAATTGCATTTTGTCCCTAGTTTGAAGATTTTTTTTTTCCAAGAAAAAACAACAACAAAATCTTTGCAAAATATATGGAAGTGATGTAATCTGAGGAGTGAGTGACTCAACTGGCGGTTCGGATATGTTCAAGTGCTTAATTCTTCCGCTTTATTATTGGTGGAGTTATAAATCTGAACAAAGAAATCTAGGAAATCTAGGGATGGCAATGGGTCGGGTCGGGGACGGATAGTGCATATTCGTTACCCTACCCAAAGTAGTTCGGGTTTTACCCATATTCATACACACATGTGAAATGGGTAGAAAATTAAAACCATGCCCATACCCGTTCGGGTTTCGGGTATCCGCGGTTATCCATGGGTAACGATTTTTCTTCATAACTATGACCAATATGTTAACATTCACACGTATTCTCACATTACGTAAGAAGAAAAGTACGACAATAATTCACTAGAATGAAGAAAATTAATTTAAACAACACAATTTCATGAAAATATTATATTTATATGCTAAATATAAAATATATTAAAGAAAAAAATGATGATTTCTAGACAGAATACATATGCATGTGTATAATCGGGCGGGTTCGGGTTGGATAGTGAGAAACCCATGCACACCCATTACCCGCAATATTCGGGTTCGGATTTTACTCATACCCACTAAATGTCCTTCGGGTTCGGGTTCTACCCTACCCGATTAAGCCGGATTCTGGCGGATATCCACGGTTACGGATATTTTGCCATCCCTACAAAGAATTTAAAAAAAAATTAATTTGCAAATTTTGAACCATTGTTTATAAAATTTTGAATCATTTTATATATATATATATATATATATATATATAGAACATTGTTTATAAAAAATAGTCAATAACATAAGAATTCAACTGACTTATGAAATTACGAAGTAATACGGTTTGACAATGTGAATTCGTCTCGATGCTCCCTCCACCGAGATAGTCCTACATATCCTCATCATATCGTATTCGTATGTATATAGCTAGTTTACACCAAAATCGTTCTGCGACAATATTGTTGTTCTCATCAGTAGCTAATTAATAATTAGGGCAAACGGCCGCATCAACAATCTCAGCGGTGTGGCCCTACGAAACTGATTATGTGCGGCGGCCGGTTGACTGTCGACTGTCGCCGGCGCGGTGCGCAAACCGTGTGCATGATATGTCGATCGATACCCTACGTGTAATTGCAAGGCTCGCACGTTGCTCTGTTCTCTGTTGACTTGGTCGGTCCTAACAAACACACGACAAAGAAGCAAATCATATATGGATTATATTGTGCACGGCTTCAACTTTAACCAGGTTTCCAATCAAACCCAAATACATGAAATGTGGAGAAAAAGAGGGGGTTTTTCCTGTCGACCAAGGATGTAAGTACCGAATATTATCCACTAATACCCAGAAATTATTTATGTGGAGATGAAATGTAAAATCTACTCTACCGCATGAGTATAGGAATGGTATTAATTTTGATATTTAAAAGTAGGAATCATAATAATTATTCAGGAAAATTCACCCGAAATTAGATCCATTGTCACCACTAATTTCAATCTCTAAAATTGTACATGAAAGTCATTAGTCTTTCAGCCTTCTGGGAAGCTTAGTATTTCGGCTTTTTGAGAAGCGCTTAGTCCTTAAGCTTCCGAGGAAGCGTAATAGCACTGCATCCGCAAGGTGAGTTTGGGGAGAGCTAACATATTCTCTTCATTTTCCTTTCGTTAGGTGGGGAATTTCCTAGAGAAAGCCGACATCGAGTTTTTTAGAATAAGTAGTGTGAGACCGGCAGTCGGTTGAATCGTTGTCGCTGCTTGTAGGGGGAGAGAGTCATGCATCGACGGTGAGGATTCTTCATAGTTCCTCCTCCTTCAGAAATCAAATAATGGAATACCAAATTAGAGCCCTACGGTGGGCGCCAATTGTTTGAGCCTGGAATGTACTAGGCGGTTATGGGGCTCTGATCTAGACTCACTCGTCCGATCTCCTCGGGAGTGGAAGAACCTGTGAGGCGGGGGGCGTGATCTACGCTCCGACGCCCAAGTTAGTACGATATAAGAGAGAGTATATGGTGTTTAGAGAGAGAGAGTAGAGAGAGAAACCTTAGGGGAAATTGAGGAAGGGAAGAAGGATCCCTTGGCTTGGAGGCTTTGGCCTCCTTATATAGGGCTTGGACCTCCTTAAATGGACTTGGGCCCGGGACGACTAGCGGTAGGCTTGGGCCCGTTTATAGTCGTGTAGACATATTAATCCATATCCCAACATTTATCTTTTCAATTAAGTTTAATTTTATTTTTCATCTCTTTCTCGTAATATTATGAGTAAAAACTTTCTTTTTATAAAATATTATTTTGGAGTGACTTTTTATCAAATATATGAATGAACCTTTTTTGTAGGACTCCAATGTTATTTTTTTAATTTATCCTATGCTTTGCTCTCCATTGATCATAACAAGGCTACAGGGTAAGTAGGAGACAAACATTCACGTGAAGGCACACCCATGAAATAACACACACTCACATTAAATGCAATGGTTGACCCTTCTCACCTACATCTATAGGCATAGCCCAACAAGGGGAGAACATCTATTAACAAATTGGTTCTTTTCCATCTTGTTATTTTAGTTAAATAAAAAAATATGTAGAATTCTCATTTGTCTTATTATTGCTATAATTATTTTTGTAAATTGTAATCAACCCAACGGTCACAAGATTTTCAATGTGGGTCACTTTCTTTACGAAATCATAAAGTCTTATTAATGTATCCAATAACAATTAGGCAAGACTTGATGCTAGGGGGTTTAATTAGTTGATCATTTTAACAATATATAAAGATAGTTGGAAAATTTTGGAAATTTTAAACTTATAACTATCTTGTAAATTTCGTTCAACTTGAATTTGAGATGTACCTTTAATTTGCGTGTGATGAAGCTCATAGAAAAGTTACACTTACTCCCCATATTATAAATTAATAATGTTGGTAAGAACTAAGAATCTTCATGAGAGCACTTGTACTGTTTTAACAATAAAGAAAAAAACAACTTTCCATGTCTAGAAAATTGTGGGGGAAAGTACGATGTGCTTGGAGATTCGGTTAATGGAAGGCGTTGGAAAAGTTTGTTTATTTAATTCGTGATAGGTGGATCAAAATTCAAAAGTCTTCTTAATTCAATCAATTTCCCACTAAAACATCACTCATCTCCACCACCTTACGGTGCAATGACATGTAGCACAAGTAGAACAAACGATCTCAATCCTAGAAGTTCAATTACTACATTTGGAGACATATGATTATTCTCGTATCATGGTTATGTATATAATATTACATTAGTGATCGGTCTAACTTGGTTGGTGACTGTGGATATGTCGAGTAGTTAATTTCTAAATGCTTCATTTTAAATCATATGATTTTTTGCTAGTTAATTATTAGTTAATAATCTAGTTAATTTCTAAATGCTTCATTTTAAATCATATGATTTTTTGCTAGTTATCACTAATTTTACTTAGATTATTGATCACAAAAGGCAAAAATTATAGCTTTTCCTTTTCATGATATTATTATATGTGCATGAGTACAGTAAGCGAAGGATTGTCAAACTATACAGGAGATTAGAGTATTTTGTACCAAAATCATGACTAAATCATAGTTCAATTGTTTCCTATCGTTAAACCCGCTTAGGACATACAATAGACTTTCTCAAACGTTGATAATAAGTCAAAATAAGAAGAATGCCGGATAATAGACTATCATCCTTTCCTTCAAAACTAGAGGTTAATCTTGAGATGCTAAATACTATTTTTATTTATTTGAGTCTCCCTTACTACTATGAATAATAACTTTGTCAAGGTCAATGATATGTGGCCGTTTAGTCTACTTAGTAGTTAGTGGTTCGTAGTTCGTACTTACTTTTTCACGAGATAATGATACTTTGATTGTAAAGGTCAATCAAATACATGGGTAGTTTGGGTTTTACTTATATCAATACTCACATAAGAATCGGGTAAAAAATCAAAACTATACTCATATCCGTTTGGGTTTCGGGTTTCATGGTTATCCATGAGTAATAACTACAATCATATGTTAACGTTCACAAGTATTTTCACATTACATAAGAGGAAAAGTACAACAATAATTCACTAGAATGAAGAAAATCAATTAAAGCAATACAATTTCATGGAAATATTATATTTATATGCTAAATATACAATATGTTAGAGAAAAATAATGATTATATCTAGACAAAATACATAGATATGTGTATAATTGGGCAGGTTCGGATTGGATAGTGAGAAAATTATCCACCCATTACCCGCAATATTCGGATTCGATTTTTACTCATACCCACTAAAACTTCTTTGAAGTTAGATTTTACCCTACCCAATTAGGTCGAATTCGGGGCGGATATTCGTGGTTATGGATATTTGTCATCACTGCTTCCTTGGTTCAGAGTTGAGAAAGGACTAAGTGGAGAGCACCTTTGCTGGACAGGCACGATTAACTTTGTCAGCTTCTCAGGGCCGGAGCCCAAGCCCAATTAGATTGTGTGATTTGAAAACAGTAAATATATGTTTGCGATTGGAGAACCCAAATCCATTATGTTTGTGATGACCCAAAAGGCCGAAACCCACACGAAAAGGTCCATCAACCTCAAGCAAGGGGGGAAAAGCTACAACCGGTCACTCTATCACTTCACTTATCATCATACTTCCCTACCAAAACTAGCAAGATTATGCCATCATCTTGATCTACTCCAATCTCAAATTAAAATTACTATTGAGCCTAATTAAAATTTTAAAGAATTTATAGTGGTGCAATTTATTTAGCCTAGAGGGGTTGGTTTTTCGAAATGATTGTGGGTCATATTTTAGACCAGCTCCATTAGTTTAGTTCAACAATCGTTTAAATGTAGTTTTTATGTCCAAGTGAGCATTTACGACTTCTTATCAGCGATCTGCAGTTAAAAATCACCATATGTTGTGCAACTGGTTAATGTATGAAAATACAGTCTTTTAATAAAGATATGTTGTAGCGGTGTAGAGACACAATGGGAAAGTGCATTTTGACTACAGTGAGGAAGGAGCGACAATGGTGATCGGCGGATCAGAGCTTTAGGCAATTGATTTTGCTCTGAAGATGGTGAAAATGAAGGGTCTACTTTCCGCAGTCGTCGAGACAGACTCCATTGATGTGATTTTCAAACTCAACTGGTCCAACCAGTCACCAGTTACAGCAAACCGAAGCAACAACAAGAGTTGAGACTTGGCGAAATGGTAAAGCGAAATGAGCTTTTGCAAAGAGGGAATGCAATAGAGGTGCCCACGGGATTGCTTACACAAATAGTACTGGGATTCTTATAAGTTTTGAATTGAAAGACTGTGTGTTTTTCTTTTTTTGTTGTTATATTCGAACTGTAATATTGTTAAGGAAAAACATCCTCATATTTATTAAAAAAATAGTATTTCAAAAAAGGAATTTCACAACTACTACTGTCTGTTTTTCTTTTTTTGTTGTTACATTCGAACTGTAATATTGTTATGGTTACTTAAGGAAAAACATCCTCATATTTATATAAAAAATAATAGTATTTCAAAAAAGGAATTTCACAACTACTGATAAGTGATAACCCATGAGATCGTGTGTATCTTCGACCATTTTATCTCTTTAAAAGAACAAGTTACAAGTTTACTGTTTGGTAGAGTCACATCCCGCCACTGTTACTTTTTTGCTTTTTCCTGGTTCTCATCATTTCTCAATTGGCTTTACGTTTTGTAGTTGGTCCTGTCACTTTCAACACTTTCTCTCTTATCCTTGAGTTTACTGTTTCATAGAGTCACATCACACTAGGTACTATTTCGTAATTAACCAAACCTTGAGATTCTAAGTAAGGGATGATCATTTCCGTAATTAAACAAAAATCAGCTCCTTTTTTTGTTGCCTTTTCCTCTTCCACTCTTCCCAGCCACACAAAATCAGCTCCTTTTATCAAGCATCTCTCTCATTCCACCCACCCACCCACCCTCCTTTCCTTTCTCGGCTGGAGAAGAAGGAAATAGTGTCAAAGAATCCAGAGAAGAAGATGAGGAGGAAGAGTGGAACTCATCAAGATGAAGGATAGTAGGGTCAAAGTTGGGTGCGGATCGGCGATAGGGACGTGACGCTCAGATGCAGCGGCGGTGGTGCATGAGTGGTGGTCCGTCAGCGACGATGGGGACGAGGCGAGTGGCGGCGTTTGAGCTGAGCGACGGTGGTTGGGCTGCGCTGGTGCGTGGGTTGTGGTCCGTCACCGGTGATGGGTGGAGGTGCGACGATGGTCTGGTGGTGTTGTGGTGCCCGCGGTTCGGTTCGACGAGCTTTGGTCCGCCTGCGGCTATGGGAGGAGGCGCGACGGTGGTCTGGTGGTGTTGCGGTGCCTGCGGTCCGACGACGAGGCTGGAAGAAGCGGTTGTGATCGTCGACAGTGACGCAGGATTTGAGAGGTTTACAACCGCTTGATTTGGGAGGTTTAGCGGTGGTGCCGGGTTTGGATATCAGGTGATGGGTTTCTTTCTCCGATTAGTTTGTTTACTCTCTTTTCTTTCATGTTTTAGTTCTCATTCTTCCTTTTCCAGGGGGGTTTATTCGTCCACTCTCAATGAAAGAGCTCTCTCTGTTGGAGGGAAGTATGAATGGGAGGCGATGTGGAGTACCCATATCTGCTGAAGTTTTTTAGACCATCTGGAAATCGAACCTTTTGTCGTTCCAGTTTTAGGTTAGGTGTTGTTCTTTGCGTATTTCATTGTTGTACTTTCATTTATGTTCCTTTCGGCTGATCAAGCTTTAGTGATGTTATTGTTTGGCCTATTTTGCTTGCTGCCGACTGCAGGAGAAGAGGGAAGCAGCAAAGGAAAATGTGAGTTGGGTTACTCTATGATGGGAAGTGTGATTGTGCCCTACCGCCTATGAATCGATCCATGGAAAGAGTTGGACGACCCACCGACACTGTAGACGGTAAATTGCTGGTTGTAACATGTTCAGTTTTTACACTACACTCTATTTGTACTTATTCTTTGGTTCTTTTGGGGTTTTGGGTTTTCGTTTTTGATATGCAGTTGGTTCTGATTGTGTTTGTTCTTTGGTTCTTTTTAAGGTTTTTAGTTTTTGGACTGCCGTTGATTTTGATTGTATTCTTTTTTTGGGTTTTAATTTATGCCATGGACTTTGTTTTGATTGGTTAGATGATTGATTTTGTGTTCCAACTCTCATCCTGTCTCTTTATTTCTCTGGCATCTCAGAATGCTATTTGATGGAAAAAAACTAGGACAGCTGGTTTTCTCAATGAATTCATCGGCCTCGAAACCACGTCGGCAGCAAGCATGCCCATAGGTGGATTGTCCGCGATGATTCTACAGCGGTCATTTTCAAAGACCCTCTGCAGACCTTGCTCCCAATCCAATTTGCTCTTATCCCCGACTCGCTTACTTTTTTGGTTCTCAACCACAAATCTGTTCATTTTGCTGCATGTCCCCCCAAATCTCACTTACTGAGTGCAAGGTAACTTCTTTTTTATGTTGGTTCAAGATTAATATGGTTTCTGCTTATATCTCTAAAGCTGGGACTGGGTTTTCATGGAAGGCTTTCAGGTCGCTTGGTAGGTTTGTGAAGCTCTCCCTTACCTCTGCCATAACGTTGTGGTAGGAAGGAATTATATTTGGGTTTAATTAGTATGTTTATGTGGTTTTTGAGTTTATTCATGTCAGCTTATTTGTGAACCAGCTTGGACTTGTGGTATACCACAGTGGTGATTATGATGGTTTGATGGCTGAAGCAACTGGGTACAGTAGTTATTTTTCTCAATCTTTCATCACTTGACCTACAATTTTTCATCGTAAAATGGTTTTATTGAGTGTTTCGAATTATTTCAGAATTTAGTAAAAAGCCTTGCTTCATGAATGAATCGGAGAAAACAACACTGAGTTTATTTTTCTTGACAATATATGGATTCGTTTTTTTTTAGATGCAAGATCACCTTATAGTTCTGCAGCAATCTGTAAGTGTCATGAAGTTTCGCTTTAGCTAATACAAACTTACATCTGCTTTACATATGCATTTTCCTGTTCATAGGGTGCATTCTGAAAACTATAGATACTAACAAGTAATTTTGTTCAATTGCAGTCATTGTTTCATCATGGATGATGTTGTTCTTTGTGTTATTGAGTTCATTTTTTTACTTATTAAGATCTTTTTCCCCCCTTTTCTCTGTTTCTTCTTGCCACAGTAAAGGAGCAGGCCTTAAAGAGGAGTTTGGGGAAGGAAGTTGCTTCCTGCTAAGGTGAAGTCACACTTTTTGTTTAATACTTTCAAATTTCAATTCCACTTTCTCCATCATATGATGGAATTAGGTAGCAGCAAGCTCTGGTGCATTTTCTATTGTCAATTCTCATCATGTTTCATGTCATGAATAGGTTACTCTAATTTACACGTCCAGTTGTTTGCTTTTCATGTTATGAGGTGTTGTTAAACTTGTGGTGGTATCTTACACCACTCACACGAGAACTTACATTCCTTTATTCCATCATAAATCATTTATGGTCTACGATGTTCATTGATGTTTTGGATTTTGTTTGCTATAAATCATAAATCATCGCTTTTTCTTCGGACTGAAATGGAATCTAGGACTAAGTATACAACTAACAATAGCAGTATTGGGAAACCGTTCAGTTCCGGTTTATATTTTTTCCTTTATATCGTTCGAGATGCTATATTGTTTTGTTTTCGGCTCGACATGCTTCGATTATCGGAACATGCTCTTCAGTTCAGGGTTGGATATTTATACTGGTAGTTGTGCCGTGTTCTTTTGCCTATCGGTTCTCTTTCTCTTCCTTTTCATGGATTAGTAGATTTTCTTATGGTTTAGATCTCTCCTTTTGGTTTAGATTGTCTGTGTTGTGCTTTGTTGATTTGCACAACGCATGTCTTATTACTGTTTACTTTCGTCTGCGTCTACTCAGATGCGTTGTACAGCAACCATGAAGTGTAGAAACGAATCCAAGAGATTATGGTGAAGGTCCACAGGGTCAATTATTCTTTCTTCGGACTAAGTTGAACTGATGAACAAGGTAAGCCGCAAAGGTTTCCTCTCTTAATCTTTTACTGAAATACTATAAACGAAAAACTACTTCTACATTGATTCAATCTTACTCATCCGTCTGCGTTCATCTTTTCTTTCAATCTATCACCAACCTATTCTCTCCCCCCTGAAGTGGCCAAAACCGGTATGACTTTACTTGCAGACTATGAGTTGTAATAAAATCACTTTCTTGATTGGAATCCTGAGTTCCCGGTTATTCGCATACCATTTGCGCCCACTGTCGGGGGAATACTGGGTTTTCATCCCTTCGTCGATTTGCTGCTATTTGAATGGGTGATTCGGTCCAAACCACTACTCTCCATTCCCTTTCAGCGCCTGCTCTCTACCACCTCCGAAGATCCTTTGCATATTGTATTGTTGAGAATCAACGATTCAGCTTGCACATTAATATATCAAGTAGATATGGTTTAACTTCATTAGTTTTTGACAACATCATGTTGCAATACCTCAAATTTCATTTTGTAATTTCTTCTGTTTGTTTTATTTTATCTTCTGTATGTTAGTGGTTCACTGGGTATAGTAAGCTCCTTATTAGTTGATTTAGACATCTATATCTAGAACATTGACTGCCAAGCTCTTAAAAGAGGGTATGCTGGTTGCATGACAGGAGCTGTTTAAGTGGTGGTTGCTAGCAATGAAAATTCTATATAATTTTTATTTTAATTTTTAGACTTGGGTGTATATACTTACGTTTTTACTCTTTTTTGGATTTGGTACTGAACGACTTTCTCAAATTTCCTTTTGCAGAAAATGCTCCATGACAACATCCTCTCTTGAATGCCCCAGCTTGGTCATTACAACCGAGTTCCGTGCCCTCTAAGGTGGCGCTTGGGAGCAACGTGACAGATCACACTCCTGTAAAAGCTGAGGTGATTACTGATTCAGGTGTTACACGGACAACTCTCAACCATTGTTTGGTTCAAATGTTGGGCTTGCAGTTACTTTGCTTAGTTTTTCGTCATGCCTTTGCCTCAGAGCCTTTACTAATACCCCTGGGATGTTATTCACTTTTGTATTGGTGTTTCGTTTTTTTACATAGCCTAGCCATTGTGTTTTCCTGATTTAATTCATAAGTGGTTAGAGAAATTTCTCTTCTCTTTGCAACTTTTTCCTCATGCCTCTTGGATGTTCTTCGATTGAGGTTTGGCCTCTACATTTATGTGAGGTTTACAATTCAATTCAGATTGGGTATACTGTTGCTTTACATGTGCTCTTTTCCCTACTTGATTTAGTCTTAGACGTGGGTAGAATTAGGATTGGCAATGAGTTTTGTCTCATACATGTTCACTTTGAAATTAGTGTTCACCTTTAATATTGAGTTTACTGTTCGGTTACTTATTACAGTTACATTTCTTTGCCTACCATCATGTCTCTCCCTCATAATCTTTGCTTTTTTCAACTAGCTGTTCGCTTTGTTGGAACCAAACAAGAATGTCACAACAGCCTTTAGATTATATCATATTGGTTAGTTGCTTTGCAACAAAAATACCTTCTGCCAAGCATACCTCATATTAATAGATCATAGTTATGCAGACTTTGGAAACACTTTTTACATGAAATGGTGAGGCAATGCTCTAATTTCTATATAAAATTGCTGTAAATCCATCTCTCAGGGAAACTTACTGGCTATGATTGCCTCTTTTCTCTTACTAAAGTGACCAACTACTTACAGCAACTCAGGTCTCACAGTATGGTTTGTTCTTCTAAAAGAAGATAGTATAGTTTGTTGACTGTGATTATTTTCTTTTTCTGCAGGTGATTTTGTAGCTGTGGTGGAGAATGCCAAAAGGTGAATGGTAGTAAGAAGAATATGTGGTTCTGAATTAGTTTCTTTGCTGAGTTTCTTGGATTAGTTTCTTTGCTTTTCTTTACTCCTCTTTATGTGGTTCTGAACTTGACAGGGTAGAAACAACCAAGGAAGCTTTGCAATAGAGAAGCCTGACCTGTGAGTCAGAGCAAATGAGGTTGCACATTAATCTCATCGACATGACATCAGGGCATCTCAAGTGGTGGTTTGTTGACTATTTAATGTCCTCATTTTTTAACGTGAAATATCTGGACTTACCATTTGCCGAACCTTCAAGTTTTTGTGCGGTTCTTAGAGAAATTGCAGTAGATACACAAACCCCACAACCCTTAGACGTGCCAAATTCATGGTTTTCTCCATATCCACCATTTCGTTAATCGCCATTTCTGTTGCCTCTCTACCCTGCTTATTGTTGTGTCCTACAATCCAATCACTACAATATTGCACATTGAATTTCACTGCTGTTGTAATCTTGCATCCTTTTTTAAATGTGAATAAGGTCATTTCTATTTTATGCATGGTTTATATTGTAAGTCCATGACCCGTTTGGTTGTGGTTGACTATAGAAATGCGTTTTACTATTTGTTCAGATATGATATGGTTGCAACCTGCTGTAATGATCCTTCATTTGCCATCATAAACTCGACCAATACTGGCTCTTTCGGATTTCAGCTCTACCAATCCATAACCTCCCTCAGTAAGTTCCTATCTAATCAATCCCGACTCTTTCCTTTAATCGTCCTCTCATCTTGATATCTTTTATTCTCCATATGGCACTAATTATCGTTATCATCTTTTGTTTCGTAGTCTGGGACTTGTGGTATATATGCTTTATCGCTTTGTTTATTAAAACAAACATACAAAACCATAGAGCTCCGAACTGCGGTTGTGTCGCATTTTTAAAACAAACATACATGTTTTACTACCTTCTCCCTGAAAGATGTTGTATGATACAAATGCTTTCTCAATGCTCTTACGTTTGCCTCTTCCATTTCCCTAGCCCCTTAGAATTACGATCATCTTTGCTGTGCTCCTTTCATCCTTGATAATTGTTTAGGCACTTTGGATCGGGGATAATTGGTTCGACCTTGCTGTTTCTTTGTTAGTTAATTCTTGCTTTCATGATCCCGTTGTTGCCATCTCTGTTTGCCATTTGTTGTAACTATATACCCTTTTTTACTCAATTTTCCTACTTGCAAACGCGCGAGTTTGAAATAGGCTGATGATCAATAATGTTTACCTGTATCACTGAGAAGGATAGATTTGTATTTCAGAATATTTTGCGCCATTATTTTTTACGGTGGACGTTTGGAGGTGCAACCAAGCTTAAAATGCTTATCATTCTTTGATTGCCATCAGTTTTCGGACAAAGTATACATGCACTGAACCTGGCTTGATTTAGGATTTCCTTATTCTAAATTTTTGTATTTTTTTTTTCAACAGTCCAAATTGTTATCTTTCTTCCTTTCTCTACTCTGATCTTTCTGTTTTTGTTTTAGTTGGTCTTTCCATCCATTTGTTAAATCACTTGAATCCTATTTGCTTCTTCAAGAAATCCTACTCTATTTTGCAGTTCCTCGAGTACAATCAGAGTATATCTCATTCCCAAAATGCGTCTATTAAGAATCGAACATGCCTGGAATTGCAAACTTCCTAATTTTCATATGGTTCTTCCCTGCTTTTACTTTAACGAGTCCCAAAATATAAAGGCCATAAAGTTGGCAATTCCTTCTTAATTTAGTTCGTATGTGTTTTCTTCAATAACCTTGCTTTGTTTTGTTTATTATGTATGACTTCCATTTGTTGAGCATTTTATTAGGGAGTGCAGTGGGAGATATGATTCTACCTATTGCATCGAAAGGTCTTACTACCTCAGGTGGAAGGTATCTAACCTTCATTGTTTAGTCATGAATCGAGAGAGATAATTCTTCAAAGGATAGCTGAAAAAGAACTTACTGGGACTGCAACTCTGCAACAAGACCCCAGTTAGGCTCTACAACTTCATCTTAGACGTGCAACAAATGTCATGTGACTCCAGGCAGGCAACCTTTGTAAGATAGCCAACATGTGCCATGAACATACCAAATTCTTAGAGATCCTGCCTGTTGTCAATTAGGTGGATTATATGATATGAGTTCAAGTTCCTGTTGTGAAGTGTTGTGGATGTTCCCTAAGCCTTTTGTGTGATAGCCTACCCATAATTTCGTTATTTTCGTATGCCTTATGAGTTATGAGTGAACAAGCTAACACTGGAGTGTTCATCTTATTGAGACACGAAAGGTTCAGTTTGTTTGGATTTGTAAGTAGATTCGATTGGTGTTCTGAATGAATTCGATGGGTATTTCGAATAAATGGGCATATTAATGACCAACCTTCCGAAGTTATATCCATTGTAGAGGTTAGGGTGGATACACAGGTTATTGAATTTCTCATATGTGAGCTCTGTATGGTATTTTTTTTACAGTATTTCATTCGCCCCAGAATGATGTTGACGAGGTAGATATCTGATATGCATCCATGAAAGTGTCCAGGGAAGGATCCTTTACCTGGCTAGAAATTTCAATCATTATCGTTGACAGGTCGGATCGTTTCCTTCAGTTGAATGATTTACCTGTTGCTTCTTACTTGCTGTTTTTTGTAAACTGTAATTTCCTGATATGTTATACCTTATAACTGCTGTCAACTGGAAAGCTTTGTATATGCTCTCCAATGCCTGATTTTGGTGCTTGGCCTGATTCTTAGGTTGTCACTTCGAGCTTAGTGAGATCAAGAACTATCAGGTAAACAATGGTGTATATTATGTTCCTGCTTTTCGTGTACTCTCATTTTATGTTGTATTTCTCTTCTCTCTATATCGTCAGCTGCTAAGCAGTTTCAATTACTTTATCTGCAACTAGAAAATAGTTTTAGAGGGATTGTTGGCTTACTGTACTTTTGTGTTCTATTTCTTAGTGCGTTACTAGGAAATACAAGTTCCTTAGGTTCGATTTGGCAATCCAGAGCTAAAACATTAACTGTACATTATTTTGCAATTCAGAATAAGATACTTGCCGTTAAATATGAACATAACATCTTTGTAAGCTGACAGGCAAGTTGCTGGGTATTTTAGCTTAATTTGTCTGCTCCTTTTAATACGGATTTTTGCGTTACTTTGTTTGCCGGTATGGGTTCTCAATTTAGTGTTTCATTTTTTTTGTACCAATAGGTGACGATCTGTAACTATTGTTAATACAATGAAAGCTAAACATTGCGCCCTTGGAAGAACACTGCTGGTTTCGATGGGAACTTGACTTTGTCAGATTGAAAGCAACAAGTAAGTGATGAGCTTCATTTTCTTTGTTCAGTTTCTTCTCTTCTTACTCATAATAGTTTCTTTTAGTTACCCACATCATTCAATCACAATATATGAGAAGCCATGTTGCAGTGGCCTCACTTTGAATAGTCTTTCACAAATAACTATTGGAGAAGCACACACAACGTAATTGCATGACCATGCGACATAAAGTAATTAAACATTACCTACAAAGGAGAGGAGAGAAGACCTTTCGGTGCATTAGTGCGCCACAGTGCTTAACTTTAATCATTGTAAATATCAGCTACCGAAGGTTGATGTTGTATAGATTAAAATTATTCCTTAATTGTGCTGGTTAGCTCAGTAACACTTTCCTGTTTGAAAATACGTTTCCCTCTGGGTACAATATGAGGTTAGTTAGGATAGTAATCAAGCTTGAATTCATGCAAGTATTGCCAATTCTTCCTAATTTTGCTTTAGTTATCTGCCATTTGATATTCTTTGCATGGGAATTTTGTATTCTGTTTTCAAATTTTCACTTCAGAATGCCAGTTCTCGCTGTAGGGGTTCTAGGTTCTGCTGTGTTATAGTTAGTTTTTTTTAGTTTATAACTATTATATAGTTTATAGTTCCAAGTACAGTGAGGCATATTCATTATTCGTTGGTATCATCTGAGCTGGTTTTAGATCAATTGCTTCTGAGTTGAAAGAGTTTTGGACCTTCAAACTTATAATGTTTATTTATATGCTTTGTGACTCAGTTTTTTGTGTTGTGTGATAGCATTATGTTGCTTATTGACTGGTCTGAATTTAGGTAATTCACTAATTAGTTTGGAGTTTAAGAATTCGGATTAGCAATTGTTTTTCCTAGCTTCGGCAAATTACTTGAACGCAGTCTTTGATGTTGGAAATAGCTTTTATAAATATGGCAATCTCGAATACAATTAACCGTTCTAGAAAAAGAAGACATACTAGGATTAAACAAAGTAAGCTTGTATTCATACCAGAATTTGTTAACTTACAGATAGTTGTTTCTGCTCTTACTTTTATTGCATTATGGCTTAATTAACCAAAGTAGGGTTGTGATTTTGCTTTAATAATGACAAAGTGCATTGCTTATTTAGGATGAAATTTACAAAACTATGCAAATATAGTTGTTTATAAGAATTGCAATTTGGACGTGAAAACACCAATAGAACAATGTAAGACCCAGGGAACAAAGAGAATAGAAAATGGTCTCCGAAGATTAGTAATGTTAGGTTGAGAGGAAGCCATTTGTAGGGATCATTTACCAGCCAAGTGAGACAAATTTCCTTGCAAATAATCTTCTGAAAGGGCGCCACTCACCCAAACGTCCAGGTCCTGCAATTTTAGCACAATTTCGGTGTCCCAACAAGCCTGCATAGGAGGGACTTGCGATGTTCGAGGCAGGTGAGTTTCATTAGCTTAAACCACTCAGCTCTGTAGCTTACAGTTGTTTATTTCTCTATGTTTGAGTTATTGGTAATTGCTGGTTAGGAAATTTGTTTTGGGTTTGGACCTTTGGTTTGGATTTATTTCCCTCTTGCTTCAACACTTAGAAACCAAGTGGTTTTTTCCTTTTTGGGAAATTTGGATTTGGATTTCCTTGCTTTGTCTACTTTCTTTACTCAGTTGTTATTCAATCTTTGTTTTTCCTCTCTCTGCACTCTCAACCATTAGTGTGTTTTAATTTCTTGCTTTGGCAAATCTTTGTTTCTTATTGCTAAGTTTAAATTTATTGCTTCGTGACTGTGAGTCAGTTAACCACAAGTCAACATGGCGCAGGAGAACCACAGCAGGAAAGCACTTCCAGCCACTACCGTTTTGTCTCAGTTTCCAGAAGAGTTTCCTTTTTATATTTTAATTTCCTTCATTCTCACTGGTAATTTGGGGTTATGTTACAAGGTTAGCGTTTATTTACTTCTCATGAATTCTGGAGTTTGTATATAATGGCCTTCAGAAGTTGTAAATGTTGATGCCATAAGCGAGGTGCTAAGATTGTGAAATGCTTTATCAGTTCCCTTTATGCTCACTGTTTGTTGTCATCAAATCACATTCTTACAATTAACTGTATAATCCCGTATTTTTCATCTGTTGCAGTTATCAGGGAAGTTTCCATACTGCTTGATAACGAG